GGGGGGCTTCAATTACAAAATAATTTGGGGCAATACCATAAAATAATCTCCTTTTTTCCGGGTCAGATCTGCTTTCCAATTGAAGAATTGCTGTTAAGGAAGAGAGATCGTGACGTGGTGGTAATGGGATGTAGTCACATGACCCTGAAAGACAATTTTGGAAGGAGTGAAGCTGCTATATAGCAAACGTTGCAAAATAAGTACAATAGAGGAAAAACTTTTTATATTACAGAAAATGCTGCCACAACCGTCCGTGACTAAAGTTCTGCATTAAAGTTAATGTAACCCCCCCCCAATCACAATGTTCTAAAAATGTATCAGCACATATAGAAAATGATCAGAACAATGGTTACATTGAAGTTTTCTCATGCTGAGAAGCTCAGCGGTGAAATATCAATGAAATAACTCCAAACACTGAATCCAAATCCCCAATTCACATTTCTTTATTATCGGTGAGCGGACGTCTTAGGTTCGGACTCATATCACAGATTTTCCTTGCGGCGATGTCACACGAAATACACAAAATGACATAAAACAGAATGATTGGAAATGTAACTCTGAGTATGAGAATGGCAATCCGAGTCATGTGATCACCAGGACGCGCAGTCACGTGACACGCCTACTTACAATCTGCGGTAACGCCGGTTAGCTGTTGTCACATTGACGTTCTCAGTCCCGGAGACGAGTCTTCTTCTCTTATTTTTTATCTTTTAAAATGAAGAGAAAATAAAATAATTCTGAGAAGAAAATATCACGTAAAGAATCCTCGTCATTCCTCCCGCTAAAAACGCGGATTTATAACTTTGTATCATAAAAATGAATCTGAGAGATTCTACAGATCGATACTTTGTGCTTCACCTCAGTCGGCAGAGTTTAAATATTCGGGGAACGGATCAGATTTTAGACATTTCCTTCTAGAAAAATATAAAAATGTAACTTAATTGAATTTGATTTTTTTGCTTGTTTTTAAGTGGTAATATCCTTGACATTCCCACCAATTTTCCATATTCACCAAATATGAATGTCAATGTGAAGGTGATAGAGCGGGAGGACGGTCTGCGTTCTGTGGAAGAAGGTTCTCCCTTATATAACGAGCTTCCCTCAGCTCGGCAACAAGACGCTGATTGCTTCATTTCCCGGCTGAACCTCCTCTGGTCCTCTGTGACCGCTCATCATCCGTCTCCAGAGCTTCAGACGCTTTACAAACTATTTCTTTCTTTAAGTCTAAAACTTTATATATTCTTATGTTTTATTTATCCACCATTGTGATCTTTTCATCAACATTATCTACATTCTGGGAGTTTTCCTTTAGGAGAAGGTTGAGGACACCTGACCATCACAGTGATATGAGCTTGTTTGACCTCTCATTCCAAAACCATGGCCATCAACAGGGATGTTCAGATACCAGTGCCGATACCAGTGCCAATACCAGTGCCGATTCATGGCACTTTCATGAGAACTCCCAGGGTTGCAGAGGTTGCAGCTGGGACCGGTCTCTGGTGCTCCACCACTGTCCTGAAATCATTAGTCTGCATTGTTTCAGAAGATACTGTCACATGACACTAAACAAAAATGTATCTGTGAGTACTTGGACAAGTATCGGTACTTGGTCTATAAAAATGGTATTGGTGCATCCCTAATATATATAAATAAAACAAATCCCGGGAGCTCCCTGTGCTCCTTACAAATCACAGCCGCCTCCTAGCTTATGAGTTTTTCTCTAGTCTTCGAGCTTGAAAAGTATCCGTACTGGTACCTGTACCGAGTACGGTACTCGGTATCTGAACATCCCTAGCCATTAATATGGACTCCCCCGAATCACCCCTTTTCCAGCCACACCATCCTCCATTCTTCTGGGAAGACTTTACCCAAGATTTTGGAGGGTGTCTGTGGGAATTTGTCCCATTTGTGAGGTCAAGGTGCTGGTATTGGATGAGAAGACCCGGGCTCACAATCATTCTTCCAATTCATCCCAAAGGTGATCAGTAGGGTTGAGGTCAGGGCTCTGTGCAGGACACTTGAGTTCCTCCTCACCACACTGGTCACACCATGTCTGTATGGAGCCTGCTTTGTACACGGAGGACAGTCATGGTGGAACAGAAAAGGGCCTTCACCAAACTGTTACCACAAGAGTTTGGAGGGTGTCTGTAGGACTTTATGCACATTTGCGGAGTCAGGTACTGATGTTGGCCAAGAAGACCTAGCTCCTAGTCAGTGTTCAGTCGGGTTGAAGTCAGCTGGCTTTGTACACAGGGGACAGTCATGGTGGGACATAAAAAGGTCTTCACCAAACTGGGACCACAAGGCTGGAAGAGCACAATAGTCTACAATGTCTTTGTATGGTGGAGTAATAACAGGACTCTTTAATGGAAACACCGAGACTTAATAATTTAACAGATGTGGACATTGATTTGGTGATATAATGTATCTCTCGGGGACTCTGTTGGTGAGATCTTTGCCCTAAGTTGCTGGGCCTGCATACCTGGTTTCCTCATTATGAAGGATTCCCACTCTTTTTGCGACTTTTTTGGGTTCATAGTATGTTTGGTTTGACCAGTTTGATGTGCATACAATGACATAGAAAGAACTGTCACATTAAACTTTGAATGTTCAGAGCCAATTAAAAGTCTGTGGGACGTGTTCACAAATCTTTTTGTGTATCCGCAGGAATCTCTCCATCTTAGGGGTCTATTCACGAAGCTCCCGAAGGATCTGGCCGTAGCTTCGGACGACGATCCTTCGGCTAGCTTCGGCCCCTTGACCCCTTCGGTTCAGTAGAACCGAAAGGGTGCTGTACGGACTATTCACAATAGCCCGTACAGCTCCCGAACATGGCCGAGCGGCTCAGTCGAGCCGAACGCATATGCATCGGCTCGGCTGAGCCGTGCTGAAATATATATATATTTTTTTCTTTTCTGAGATGGCTCCGTGTCAGAATAAAGAAAAAAAAGACACAGCGGTGTTTCTCTCCTGGGCGGCCGGGAACGGGAGGCTCCCAGAGCGCCCGGGAGAGTTTTTTTTCTTCTTTTTTTTTGGACAGCAGCAGAGACGCCGGACAATAGGAAATTATTGGGCGGAGCTAGCTGTCATTTTTTTTACCTTTTTAAACTCTTTTTCTGTTCTGCTCGGTAACACCTCACTTCACTTCAGGTCGGTCATTCACTCGGCTGCCTACGGCAACTTAGTGAATAGACCCCTTAGACTTTCACAATCTGTAGGCCAGAATTCCAAAGAGTGGCCCATAATTAATATCTGGGGGTCCCTCAGGTGTTGTTACGACATTCTAGTAGGTATACAAGCTCTGTAGGGTGGGGAAATAGATCTAACTGACTACTGGGGTCCTGGGATGGTGACACAATTGTACAGATTGTTAGGGGTGGCAGATATAAAGTTATTAGGAGGTGTTTCCTGACAGAAATTCTGACCATTCTGGACAGTTTTTGTGGCTAAACACAGCAGAACCTTTTCAAAACAGACAGAAAAGGTCATCACTTTCATCACAAATCAAGATGTAAAGTGGCTGAGCAGAGGAACCCCCAATACATGCATTGCAGGGGTGCAATCTAGAAGGAGGGATTCCTGAAGTCTTCAGTAACATGATTTAGTCACATGACAGAGGGAGCTGATTAATGGGAAACTAATTTGCTTGTTTTCTTCTGACTGTGTTTTTGACGTCTTTGTTCCTCATACTGTAGATGACGGGGTTCAGCATCGGTGTCACTATTGTATAGATAATGGACATGGTTCTGTGTATTTCAGGAGAGTAGGTGGAGCGGGGTCTCAGATATATAGACATGATGGTCCCGTAATAGAGAACCACCACGGTCAGGTGGGAAGCACATGTGGAGAATGCTTTGTGTCTTCCTTGTGAGGAACGGATCTTCAGGATGGTGGAGATGATGTGGACGTATGAGGTCAGGGTCAAGCAGAAAGAACACATAGCGATGATCCCTGCCGAGATGTACGTGGCTATCTCATTGCGCAAAGTATCTCGACAGGATAATCGAAGTAAAGGCGGTATCTCACAATAGAAGTGGTTGACGTGGTGGGACTTGCAGAAGGGGAGCTGGAAGGTGAGGACAACATGTATGGCAGAATTCACAAAGGAGATACCCCAGGACCCCATGGCTAAACTAATACACAACGTCTTGTTCATGATGATGTTGTAGTGCAATGGTCTACAGAT